AATTGATTTATTGTATTGTTGATATATATTTTTTTTATCATCATTTACATAGTACCGGTAGTATGAGAGTGCAATTTCCGGGCACCTAGAGGTCCATATTCTCAAAATTGTTCCACCTCAGCCCAAACCTGAGGTGATGGTGAACTCTCACACACCCCCTACCGCCAAATCCTGCATCCGACCCAACTATGGTACATCACACATATTAATTTGATATCTATGGTTGCCGAAAATCACTGATAAAAGATCATGAGAAACAATGGTAATGTGATGATGAATTTCACTATTATAAGAATGTCATTTCCGGACATCTTAAGGTACTATTTCCTCAAATGGTAGGCCCTCAGCCCCAACCATGGTGGGGCTGAAATGGGGGTGGTCTCACGAAATTCCCACCCCCTTACCTTTCAAAACAGATCTGCACCTTTGAAAGGGCCATAATATTGACTTGTACCAAATACCTTAAAATATGTCATAACTCAATTTCGCGAAAATATTATTGTTTTTAATGTTTAATTAAGATTGTTAAATTAGGAAACTTTGATAAACATTTTTAAAATATGAGAGTGTCATTTTCAGGCACTTAGAGATAAAATGTCTTTGAATATTTCTGGTTTCAGCCCCAATAATTTTGGGTTAAATGGGCAGGAACCACGGCTGTTTCTGATTTTAAAAACATATTATGTATCTAGAAAATTTTGAAAATGTACAACATGCTGATGCTAGAAATAGCTTGATTTTACATCTCAATTTTTGAAACATTTATCCATCCGATTGTTAAATGTTTATTAGGTCCTCCAAATGTTTGCAGGACGTCGCTTCTACATCAAGGTATAGGAATGGCAGAATTGACATAATTAAACTTGGTGTTTAGTCATTTTTCTATGTTTGTTATTATCAGGTGATCAGTTTATTTGAGCGGTGTGGGATCCAACAAGACACTCATAAGGTGCTGCTTGAGTATTTACATGACATTGGCGAAATCCTTTACTTTCCTGAAGACGAAGCCTTAAAGGATATTATTGTTTTAGATTTAATGCGAATAGTAGATATGTTTAAAACAATAATCACTGTTAAAGACCCTAATCTTCAGGTGAGCTGAAACAATTTATACAATTGTGGACTAATTTATAATAATTGAACCATATTTTCAAAAGTAATTTTTATTCTTTGCTTAATATTATGATGTACCGGTAGAGATTTTTTGTATAAAATTAAATTTTAGGAATATGCATTGAGAGATGCCTGGAGGAGATTGAACTCAGGAGTACTAGAGGAGCATCTGTTGAGACATCTCTGGAAGCAGTTTAATTTTTCATCTAAGACATTTGACTTCTTCATATATCTCATGCAGAAGTTTGGACTGGTGTGTGAGAAAAAAACTCAAATGGTAATTTTATCTTATTTATTTTATTTTTTTTAAATCTTTTTTTATCTCGTACGCAGTATCTGATCAATTCTGAAACACATTAAAAGTAAGAGTATTTCGCTTTTTGCTGTCGAAGTATTGCTACATAAAAAGCTGTTTTTTGGTTGTTGTTTAGGGTGATGAGCGTGTTTTCTACGTTCTTTCACGTTTGAAGCCTGAACGTGTGCTTTCACCACCCACAGAAAATCGAAATTGTGCAGTTTCTATCTTTCATGACTTCAGCGGCTATTTACCTGACGATCTTTTCCAGCGTGGAGTAACTAAGTTCATCGAGAAATTCCAAGTAGAAGATAATGAACCTAAACTCTCTTATGAGCATGTGGAGTTGTATATCGGTAAACTTCACCATGTGGTTCTGAATGTAGCCACCATCAAGAATCGGCGTATGTTTCAGGTATATCTGTTACCTCTGTCATTAATGATATTTAGATCAACGTTCTGCAAACTGTGTGTCACCAAAATATTTTGGTGGGTCACAAACTTGATAGTATTTTTTTTTTTTTAAATACCAGCTACTCTAGGCTGTCATTATCGCATTAATATGGACACATGTTATTTTGTAATATTCAGAACTTTTCTTTATAAGACAAGATTTTATGAATAATTATTTACATTTTAATGACACATATTTAGGTTGAAAACTATCTTAAAATATACTACTGAAATGAAATACAGCATGTTGCATACTGTAAGGCGATATAATGCCTGGGTCTTCTAGATTACAAAATAGAATATCAAATTATTTACTTATTCATAAAAAATGAATGTTTCCACAATCACCGTCACTACTATAATATCAACATCAACATTGTTGCCACTGACATCACCATTATTATCACGGTATATTAAAGATTTATATTATAAACATATGTGACATATAGACCATACAACACATACATTAACCGTACAAAACCTGCAGTATTTCAGTTTTAAAATTATATTTAACTTCAAAAGACAAAGATTTATACTTGTTTATGTTTTACAGACAACAATCATTAGATTAAATATTTCCAATGCCGATCAGCTCAGCAGAGAAGATGAGCCCTCACCGACAGTTTGTAAGAAGGTAAGGTGCACAATTATCTGGTAGCTGGACTTAATATTTTGTTGAAATCTATATAAGAATAAAATGACACAGTTTTAAACAAAAAAGAGGAAAAAACCAGGAAATTTCTGGTACTGACAACTGACACTGATTGTAGAGCTACTTATAGTTAGTTTATTTTCTATTTTATATTCCGTTAGCTTCATCACCTCTCTGCCACTCATACTATAAACGCTTATTATTTCTGTTAGGCCTTGCAATAGTATTGTAACTTCCATCAGTATTTTTTATATTTCTGAATTTACACTTTGGATCATAAGATGGATAAACGAAAATTGGTAATACTACATGGAAATTATCCCAAAAAAAATCCACTTGATCTCAATATGCAATACTGTCTTTGAAACCTTGTTATCCCAAACCCTGATTAAGGATCGAACATACATACTGTATGTTAAATATTTGTTAGAAAGAAATCTTATCATTACAATGTTTTAATCGTACTCTTTTTTCAAGTACAGTATGTGTTCATTATAATAACTGTGTATGCTTATCCTGTGCTCACACTCTAATCCAGGTACTGGACTTCCTCAAAACAGGATTAAAGAATTTTTCGCAAAAAGGTGCACGAGGAGTTGGATTAACAATGTACATCCCTTGTGTATGTTGCCCAAATGGAGATGCTCATATGCATATTGTGCGCACATTCGATAAGAATGTGCTGCCATGTGGAAGCCGTGGTATGGAAATGACGCGCTACAATCGATTATTTGGAGACAGCATGCCAATGCAAGATAAATGTATATGTGCTATTCTTTCTCAAAAACCTAAACAATTAACTTTTAGCATGTTTAAAATAAAATAAATACTTAGTAAATAAGTAAATAGATATTTGTCATTGGTAATAATGTTTCGTTCTACAATCATAAACTTTAACATAGTAGTTAACTACTAATGTTCTGTTACTTATGATACTGTGAGAACAATGAAATAAAACTAAAAGAATCAGGGAGCAGTGAAAGTTACGTCACTATTAATTTAATCGACAGAAAAAGATTGTTTGCATTTGGAGTACTGAATCATGTTTAAGCCTAGGTAGGCTACACCCAGTTTCTAATTCATAATACACAAAAGAATAAAAGAGGTCTGATACAAAAAACTCCTAGCACTACAGCCAAAACCTATTGTGCCAACAACAAGCCAAACACCCCATTGTGCACCTTAGCCTTTCAATGGTATAATCCATTGTTGGGTGACTTTTGACAGGGGTGGCTTATGACAGGCGTGGCTTTCTAACGATTTCCTTCTTTCCAATTTTGAAATGCACATTCATTATACATAAAATAGGATACCTAAAATGTTTCTCACAAAACAGTGTCAAGACAGCAAAAAAGATTCACATGACATTGGATGTTTTAAAACAAAACAGTGCACCCTTGTTTCAATATAATATGTTATCTGTTCTTTAATTCTTAGCTGTTCCACCTTCCCACGTCGCAGTAAATAAACCTGAAGCACCTGAAGGTCAGTTTACATTATTGTTACTAGTCCAAAATAGTGAAGAACCTCTATAATGATACAATACAGAGATAACTTCTCAAAAACATCTTGTAGTAATGCTATAAGTATATAGAATTTCAGAACGTACATACGCAGAATGTATATACGTGTTTTTGTGATTGAGTAGAGTATAAAATCACATTAAAGTGGTCGCATTCCTTTTTGGCGAATCAGCTGCAAATTTGTCATCTATCATAGTAGAAAGCAGTAAGGTAACGGGCACCACAGCAGCATGCGTCCACTGCCCCCAGTTTGCCCACATGAAAAGCATGTGTGGAGTGTATTAATAAATCTTCCTAATATCTAAAATGTTCATGTGGTTGTCATAAACGATATCAATAAATTTCCAAATAGTAACTGCATGTTATATTTATTATACTGTTTTGAAAGACTTTTGGTGTTTTGTGTATTAGATTATGTGGATGATGTTACTATTGAGACAGTCTCTGAGAAAATAGGGCTAAGAAGAAAAAAGTTTGGTGTCCGTCTGGGACTTAGTTGGTCTGAAGTAAACAAGTTTAATACTCACAAAGGAGAGGAGGCTGTCAAAAATATGATGTGGTATTGGAGGAGCAAAATGCAAAGTAGAATGCAACATCAGCTTAAATCGTTGTGTGTTGCTCTGGGACATTATGGGTTTAAGACATTTGCCGACTCATTGTTTAAGGGTGATACAGAAAGTATTGTTATCGAAGAACAAGCAGGTCAGTTATTTAACATATTGTATTACCATATTCATTATTTTCATCTGATTTTTCCTAAACAACCTTAAACTTGCTAAAGCAGGGTGGGCATAAAAATCGGTTGGAGGGCCAAAGTGAATTTTCGAACACCGAGGGCCGCACCCAAACTTTGATGTTTCCAGTGAGCTGCCAAAAACCGCCAAGCACTGCTTTTACACCACTTTCTTCTGAGTTTTAATGTTGCCGGTGTCAGGCCGTGAAAAAGAAGGTGATTTCTAGCCAATGTTGCTTGGCGGGCCGCACACATATAGTTTTTAATTTCTATTTGCGGGCCGCAAAAAAATCGCAGTCGGGCCGCACTTTGCCCACCTATGTGCTAAAGTCATTACTATTTATAAAAAGAAAATCCTCTTATAAAATCCATACTTATCTATCCATACTTATCATTTTTGATGACTATAACCATTCAAAATGCATTCGTAGCCAAACTCATAATATTTTATATTGAATTCCTTTTGATGTTATTGTGTGTGTTGTTTTCTTTATATTGATGGTTTATTTGTATCTGTATCACTTTGAAAACCACTACACAAGTACTGAAAGCAAACCGGCAGTTCAAAGAAAGAATAAATAAATAACTCTTGGCCAGTTTCATTATTCACTATCTTCACAAAAATCAATGTAAAACTCTGTATTCTAGATTTCTTAACTTCATCACAAAACATAACATTCTTAATCCCCACCAATACGGATTTTGAGAGAATCATTCTACTTCGCATGCTACCCTTGATCTAGTTAATAATACCATTAATGCTTTTTAACATTAAAAAAAAATCCTACATACTGTAGTTTATTTTTAGACATCAGTTAAAGCCCCATTCCCGGCAAAATTTCAGTTTTTAAGAAAAATCTAATTTTTGTAAAATGTTATAAAGATTTATACATATAATAACGGAATTGCTAGTTTAACTGAATTTAGACATTCCTAAGAATGAAAAAGTGTTAAATAAGACTGAAATTTGATTTTTTTTTTTTGTGTTCCACACAAAAAATAAATGCGGATGAATTTTTCATGTTGATTTTGCGATAGGTCGTGAGAAGAAATATCGTAGGCGCCGAAAACATTAGCCTATCCAACGCTGCTAGGCTAGGCCTAGAGCCTTACCTCGATTTAGGTTCTGTTATCACACATAAAAACGGCCGACATGATATTTTCCGTTGCTAGTATTGACACTTGTGAATATAATATTTCATAGGAATTATTTCAAATTTGTTAAAAAACTCATTCTGACTGAGATTTTGACACTTAAACAAACATATCTCAGCCTAACCAAACGACCGCATTGTGCGAGATGCGAAGTACAAAAACCAAACTTAAATAGCAGAAGAATGAACTGCTCCGCGTATTTGCATTAAAATCGATGGAACATTCGCCCTCCTGCGGTTGCAGTAAAATTTGAACATTTTACTAAGTGGAGAAACTAAAGGAAACAAGCAAACAAGAGCAGCGCCTTTATTATTTTTATATAGCGCCGCCGCGCGGTTGCAGTAAAATTGATCTCCGTGTACCCACAATGCCTTTTGAATGGATGTTTCGCTATATTGGGAAGCTGCTCTATCTTCTGCTATTTATTATCTTTGCAAAAACTAATCTCATTAGAGAGGGCGCACTTTATTGACTGTATAAAGTATACATAAAAGCGAGAGTATTCCAGTGGATGCGATCTACAACCTCTGAATTTGCCTAGTAACGATGAATTCGTCCGTCGAGAAAATCGTCGAGAAAATGGTAATATTTTATGAGAAATAGTCTGTATTTCTCATTTTTTTTATTCTTTTGTGTAAAACTAAAATTCATGCCAATATTTTTCCATGATTTATAATAATTGGAGTAATGCTAATGCATATTTTCTAAAAAAAGTCAGTTTTTAGTGAAATTTTGCCGGGAATGGGGCTTTAAGCATTTGAGGTCATAAATCAAATAATATTAATTGATATTGATTAATCTAATACACTATGGAATTAGAGGTATCGTATTGAATTTGTTTAAAATTGTATTAATAGGAAACAATTCATTACCACTGCATCTTGTGAATCATGAACAGAGAATATAGATCGCGAATATAGCCTGTGGTGTGCCAGGCATCAATTCTTAGCCCGTTATTATTTCTCACTTTTTTTATTCACTTTAATGTTGATTTTCTCCCCCATTTATATCTTGTGTAATGTAGTGTGTTCCTGAATTTGCGATTGAGACAACCGCCTTAGCTACAGTGATTTGGTTCACTGGTTGACTCAGATCTCCCTAAATTTAAGATTTTTTTTGTGTAACACTTTCTATTATGTACATACTGCTGATTATTGACCTAATCAATAATTGACCTAATCAATACCTACAAAACAAAACAAGAACTGTATATTACTGCAACTACTGTACCATTAATATGACATGTCCATGGATGGCGAGATCGGACAAAGATGTGTTCAAAGAAACCAAAGGCCTTGCGTTCGAATCGCACCTTGGTATTCAATTTTTTATTTATTTATTCTTTTCAATTTAAAAACATTTTATATCATTTTGATTATTTATTTTTATTATTTTTTCTGTTAGTGGTAGTAATTATTGACAATTATGAACCCTTGCTGAAAACCCAATTGCTCCAGCATGGAGGATATTTCCTCCATGATTTAACAACAAAAAGCCCCGTCTGAAAGGTGCATACAGGAAGCAGTTTAACGCACAGACCAGTTAGCGGTCGCTCTTATTTTTAAAAAAACATAAAAGTACTCAAAATACATGATCTGTATAAAAGAATTTCATTATCCATACTTTGATATGTTGAATTATTTAAAACAAAATATTCAGCTTAAGCCTAACTGTTACAAAAATCTCCAGCTATTTCTACATTCCTGTGGAATGATCTTCCTAGTAATATTAACAAAATTGTTAGTTTACTAATTTAACAAAACATCTGACGGTACATTAAGCCTATACCTAAATTGAATTTATATATTATTACTATTTCTTTCGATATTATTAGTATTATGACTTAATACTTATTATCATCAATCATTATTACTATTATGATTATTCTTGTATGCTTATAATCATAATTCTCCAACAGTCCCTATGAGACAAATTGCCTTCTAATTTGTGACCCCAACAATGTCTTTTTTTTATAATGTAAGTTTCCAGGTATTGAAGTAGTAAAAAATAGTAGAAGCTTATACAATGTTATACAGAATCGAAGCTACACAAAATGTACAATGACATTATTTTAAACATTGACTTTTAATTACTTACAGAACAAGATTGCTTTAGTGATCAAGACCTGCTGTTCATCTGTGACAATTTGCCAATCGGATGGAGAAAACTTGCAAGGCAACTAGGATTTGAACAGGCAGTAATTGATGACATTATTACATACAACCACCAATGGGAGAGCGACAGCAACATGCACATGTTGGCTATATGGAAAATGGGTCACTCAGAAAAGCAAATGCCAATCATGATCAAAGCTTTAAAAAAGACAGGATTTGATCAAGTTGCAGAACGTGTGTGTGAAAGGCATGACTACAATGACAAGGCTGTATATCAAAATAATTGTAGACCTCAAGGTTAGTGATGTCCTTAAAACACTTACTCACTTCTGGTTATCTTTTGGTGCCATCACTATCATGTTGTTCCACAGCCCTCTGTTTCTGGTCTGTTACTTATCTTTCCTAACCATTGCTCAGTATGTCAATCCAAGGGATCCTCATTCTTCTAGAATGTCCACCCAATCAGGTTTATTCTTAGAAAGAGGGGTTCATGTTTCCAGGTCCTACTCTGAAAATGTATTTATATATTATAATAAAATTAAGGATAAAATTATTTTCGTTCTAGTTTGGGTAGATGACCTTATTGAAACATCTTACATGAGTTTAAGGACTGTATAAAGAGTAAATTTAAAATGGAAGACTTAGATAAAGTATCCTACTGCTTAAGTATAGACAATGTACAAATAAAGGGTCAATATACCAAAGCCAGTACATTAAAAGTTAAGCTTCACAATAGTGTCTCTTGTAAATATATTGCACAATCAGTTAAAATTATCAATAAAGCCAATGCTAGATTAAAATTTTTGTATAGGCAGAATGGGTATCTTAACAGAAAATGTGAAAAGCTTCTTTGTACTCCATCTTGCAATGTCTTTTTGACTATGCATAAACAGCTTGGTTCTGTGGTGTTAATAAACACCTTAAATCTAAACTGCAAGTTATTCAAAACAAAACGGTTCGTTATATTAATTCATTAGGTCCCCTCTCACACATTGGAACAGAGGAACTTTTAAATCTTAGTATATTAAATTTAGCTGATAGAGTAAAATATTAAGATAGATAAATCATGTAAATAAGATCTCTATTGGCAAAAATGCTCCTTATATGTCTCTGAATTTCTGTAGAGTTCACGAATTCCATAACTACAATACCAGAGGAAGTAATTTAAATTTCATTGTTCCCAAGGTCAAAGGTGTTGCTATTTCAACTTGTTTCTTCTCAGGCATCAAAGAATTGAATGCCCTTCCAAATTATATTAAATCAATCAATAATCATTTAACTTTCCGTCAAGAACTAAAAAATTATCTTTTCGACAAAGCTGCAGTAGATAACTCTCTGTCTTTTGATTTTTGCTGTAATTGCCTTGCCTTGTTGATGACTTTTTTAATTGTTGCTTTCTGACGTCGAAAGTCATTTTAGATTTGTTTTACTTTATGTGGACCCCGTTGGAAACAAGTTGCCATTTGGCGACTTTCATGGGTTATCTGGGCGATCTTTTGTATCTTCTTCCTCGTTCAATTTGTCAACTTTTGCCTTTGATGTTTGTGTTTGTGTGCCGAATAAAGAAATAAAATGAAAATAAATAGGAAAATATTAGAAAAAAATAGCATTTAGATACATATACTAGAAATTATATCACACAGGTGGTTGGGAAATTTCAAATCCTATGCGGTCCGCAGGGCCCCGACCCCTAGGGGGCCCCGAAGGGGTCCAACCCATATGGTCCTCAATCTATCACCTTGGCTAAAAAGGATTTTGTTAATACACTACAACATAATGTGTCATTGACTGTAGAACATATCATACTATATCCAGCGGGCCCTGCCAGCCCTGGGCCCCCACTAAATAATCTGTCAATTATTTTTTTAATGGAAATTAAAAAAAAAAATATATTCACAATTTTAAGTCTGTGAGTGCCATTTCCCGCCATCCAGAGGTGCCACAATCATAAATTGTATTATCTCAGCCACAACCATGGTGGGACTGAAGTGGTAAACCCTCCATTTTTTAAAGTTCCTCCCTGGCCCCACCCCCCCCCCCCCCTCTATTTCAAAATTTCTGCATCCACCACTGATATCATATCATTTATTCGTCAATAAAATATTTAGAATGACAATGAAAACATGATTTTAAAATGTGCATCATCGATGACAGGGTGAACAGGCCTGTGCTCTCGACGGGGGAAATTTACTCTCCCCTCCTGGTGCCACCACTGAAAGCATTATGGGTAACATGGACAAGTAAAGTTTCTTTACTAATGTTCACTTCACCTTAATCAAGTTTAGTATTGGATTTGTTATAATCGGTGTCAAAATGTATATACAAAGGGCGCTGATAGGGCACTGATAATCTGAAAATGGCCCTGTTATCTTACAGCAATCGATAAGCATTACTATATTGAGGAAGTATTACTGATCTCCTAACTAATGTTAAACCTACTCAAATATTTTACTTTCTTTCAGGAAATTGGTGGTATTGGCCAACATGGGCAGTTCTCCTTCTCGGTTGTATAT